TGAAGGGAAGGGCTGAAAAGGCAACCTGCTGCTAATGTGTAATTCGTAACTTGGTTCCGACTTTGACATTGTCCCCTGTGGAATGACAGCAGTTTAAATGGTTATAAAATTCATATCTTTGTTTAGAAGAACAAAGATTTTCTGTCGGTTCTGCAGGTTGATGTGTTTCTCATTCTTGTCATACTCTTAATCAAGGGATACAACTGACATGAATTGTGCTAAATATTACTAGCAGGAAGCTGCAGATAACAAGGCTCTCAATATAAGTTAAAATGACAAACCACTGGCACACCTTTCCACGTTGAAATAAAAACCACCTACCATGTCTGTGTGTAAAGAAAATCACAGGCGCTAGAGAAAGGGATATTGGGTACACAAAAACATTTTAGAGAGAGCTACCCTTCTGTTTTTCCCTGCACCATTTTGTTTCCAGTGGTGGTATGTGTCACTGTTTGTTGCAGTCAAGAAATAGTGTGGAAGTAAGGCATAGATCTCCAAACATTTGGTTGCTGTGTACCAGGATCATTGGATGTTTCCACCACATTGTTTGCCTATGTAAGGAACAACAAGGCTGTGGATTACTAAATCTTTCAGGTTACAGAAACTCCATTTGGCTCCGAAAGGCTGCTCCTGTGGTTGACTTTTCTCCCCAGTTGGCCTTAATTATTCAGAAGCACTCTCTGTTTTGAATGTGACCACTCCTGGGATGAAACCATCTGAAGCCTTCTTAAGTCTTTGAGATTTAGAGCTTTCTCAAACTGTACTATAACCCCCTGTATTCACCTGTATTAATCAGTGCATGATTATCATGAACAAATCAAGCTATAGCTGTAAACAAGGTTTTGTTCTTTGTTGGTAATCGTGACTAGATCAGGATTAGATCAGTTGCAAAAAAACTGCATTTAATTTGTTCCTTTATTCCCAGAGAGCTGAAGCACTCTGGACATGTACTAACATTAAGATACTTTCCTGATCAGGACATTTGGTCTTATCCAGAATTATGATTATAAACTGCTACTGAGCTAAAAGCAGTGTGCCATTTCCTATCTCACTTACCTGGGATACTGATTCCCAATAGCCACATCCTTTCTGTGACCACACATAGAAATAAGGATGAACTGGACCACATTTATTAATTTTAACACAACACAGAACTGCAATAGGGAACCAGGTGCTGGATGCTAACTACTCATAACAAACTGTGGGTGTGTCAGGGCTTATCCATACCTACTGTTTGCCTCTCTCTTTCCAGGTGCAGTTCCACGCTTAAAAGCTCCATGCCCAAGACTCAACAGTGAAACACAGATCCCCTAGTATTCAGAGGCATCTTAGACACATACGTTTCTATTAAACTTCATGCAGATATCCAAGCTATATACATGGAAGTAATGCCTGTGCAAATGGAGGCAGGGAGGGATAGATGATACTAGGAAAGCTCATTCTGAACCATCCCTGAAGATCCCCAAAGCCAACTGTATCCAGTTTAGAATGGGTTTGGGGCAATAAAACCTATAAGTTCGTATTTTGAGCCTTTCCATTCTAAAGCATTGAAAAGAATGCAGGCTTGTCCAACAGGTATTCATGATCTACCCGTAGATCACTGGACTTCTGCGGTAGATCACTGGTAGATCACTGGCTCCCTCCAAAGAAGCTGAACAACTGTGGCTCCCCTAAAAAAAAGCTCAACATTTTACTTCCTCCCTGAAAAAACTCAACAACTTTGACCTGAACCCCCCAAAAGGGGGTAGATCATTGCCAGTTTTTAACTCTGTGAGTAGATCACAGTCTCTTGGGAGTTGGCCACCCCTAGAATATGGTAACAGCCATTGCTGCCAAGTAGAAATCTGATATTCCTTGTTTCAAAGCTCCTTGTATGGCTTGGGAAACAAATCAGTTCATTTCTAGCTCAGTAAGCTACCATATATCCCTTATTTCCAACGCAAAGTATAAATTTTCCTTCATTAGGGACTGCAACTCTCGTCTCTGCAGCTTTCTGCTTCAGACATCTAGTAACTATTCAATGTAACACAGAAAAGTGTTAAGGTGTTTTTGTGTGTGTGTTTTTAGTACATATAAGGGTCATATGTACTCTTAGCTAACTCACTCTTGGCCCACATTCACTCTTAGCCCAAGGAGCTACATGCCAGTGTGTATCACCACACTCTTGCGTGCGTGCCTGGTGGTCGCATCCAGCCCCGAAACTGGGAGCTATCCACTCCTAGGGAAAGTTTAAAGGTCTACATGTAGACTCATAGGATCTGTTGTAGTCTGGATTCCTTGTGTAAATTGCATTCATAGGTCCAAGTGGTGAAATTGACCCCAACACAATCCCTATCGCCGAACACTTTTGCTATGTCTACAATTACTTGAAAATTGATGATAAAAGAAATAGGGTAAGAGCCCAAGATGTTATTCTGATAGTGGAAGGCTTGAGCATACCTTCCAGTTCTGTCTGTGATTGGGAACCTGGTGCTGTGAGGGCTCCTGGCCATGTGGAGGACTGGAAGTACATCCAGCCATAAATACTTACAACCCCCCTTCAGATTGCTCAGCCCAGAAAACCAGGGTGTATGGGACAGGACTAGCATATTCAGTCTACAGCTCTTTCGCATGTAGAATTTAAGAATGCTTGAATAGGGATTTAAATTTTACCACCACTTTTGGTGGAAATGGCAGAGGAACTGCTGTGAGAGGCAAGCAGATCCATCCACTCAAATGCCCCTGGAACAAGTTATATCAAGACTTACCACCAACCTTGGCCTGTAACATAGGCGCCGACTCCATGGGGCTTGAGGGGGCCCGAGCCCCCTCAAAAATTCGTTTGGGGGGGCTCCGCCCCCCCAATAATCTCCGGCGCCCCTCCAGCAGAGCGCCATCGCCGCCCCTCCCCCAGCCCAAAATGCACAGGGAGGGGCGGGCTGCATGCCTCCTGCCCTCCCTCCCGAGCAAAAGCTCCACCCAATTTCCTTTGGAGCTGATTAATAGGCGCAGCACGCTCTCCCCTATTCGCTCACGAGGAGGCGGCGCCACTTTATTTGCATATTCATGAGCTTATTTATTATTCATGAGCTTTCCCGGGCCCCCCCAATATTTTTTATAAGTCCGCGTCCCTGGCCTGTAACACCCATTTTTAAAAAGATGTCTAGGAGGGAGCCAGAAAATTATAGTCTCATTTGGCTATCTTTTGTCCTAGGTAATTTGGTAGAAAGTATGTTTGAGGGAAAAGATGATCAAGAAAAATCCTGAAGCTGCAGGTGGATTGGTACATTGATCCAAGAAGTAGAAATCTCAGTCCAAACACATTTTGAGCACTAAGTCCATCAGGAAACTATGTAAAAATATTGGCACCTGCTAAAAACATTCCTGTTTAGGCTAGTGTACTCAGATATTTAGAAAGTTGAGGTAATTTTTATCTTCTTTTAGTATTTTAACTTTTGTAAGTTTTACAGTAGGGTCGTAAATCTTTCTTGATTTTATTGTTTTATCTTTTGTTAACCGCTTTGAGGTTTTTACAATCAAGCAGTGTATAAATTTTAATGAAATAAATAAATAATATAAAAGTGTCCCCCCAGAAAACATTCACATCTCTGAAAATGTATTTAGAAAGATCTGTTCCATAGTTGCCCTAGTAGTGACTTGGGGAAAGGTGGGGGTTGTGAGTGAGGTTGGGAATGGACAAACTTTTCAGCCTGACCCTTACTATCAGGGTGGAAAGAGTTGTTACAGAGTACCTGCATTTGTTCTGTCAGTTCTGCAGCTGTTATTCGGTATATATCTGGTACACTCTTTAGGTAGTAAATTTATAATGTACACAATGGCCATGTTTCCCAAAACATCCTTGCTTTTTACTAGTGTGACTGTGAAATACAATAGCAATGAAAAACTTGTATTCTGTTATTTTAGGGCAGCTAGTTAATCTATTCCACATTCTGACGCATCTTCCTATTGTGCTATGTCTCCCTGAAACAACTGCCTTTATAATTATTATTAATTATGTCATGTAAAGGGTACACTGTACTTTGGCTTCTGTTCTCAGCTGTCTGTAATATTTCAGGGCTGAAATCCTCTTTTACTTCTAACTACCAGATTATTATTCCTGAATTTTACTCTTACTGCTCTTCTTGTTTTTAAGGTCTTTTAATGCCCCTGGTTTAGTTTGGTTTTGGCCAGTGACTGAAGTATTTGTTCCTCTCTTTCCAAATGTAAATGCATTTTAATTTCTCCCCCCACCCCTCTTGTTTGCTACATATGAGCTATTAGCTGACATGTTTATTTTCTAGAGTCTGGACCAGCTTTTAAAATTTGTTTTGCCTCCTTCAATTTATAAATGTTATAATCAATTATTTAGCTATCATTTCCCATGTGAGTCCTAAGCAGAATAGTTGATAGCCCTCACACAGGCCATTCGAAGAGACAGGCGTCTCTGAAGCAGCTGACACTGGTGAGCCCAGCTAGTTTCCAACCTCTCTTGAGTGCCAGAGTTTTGAGGGCCAGCCAGCAATTGCACATTTCGTTCATCACTCAGCCAATGAAAAGGATGTGTTGTGCAAGTCTCTTCACTCCCCTTTGCTGAGTTTGCATTGTTTTGCCCATTGCATATTCAGCCTCAGGGTAGCATTGAAAGAAAAAGCTGGCCATCAGAGAGAAATACCCTCAAACTACAGCAGTGTAATTGCACTCAATCAGCATCAGCTTAGCATCAATAATTAGGCAGGGGCCCAATAATAAAGCTGGCATCTAGGCTAGCCAGTGAAAACATGAGTACTACTATAGAACTTAGACACAAATGCTTTCAGGCAAAATTAACTTCATATGAAGAAACTACTTCTTTAGCTATTGCACTTGAATATGAGCAGGAGATTCATTGCATTAACATGGTATTTGTGTTAATAATGTTTTCTTTCTCATCCTTATTGAAGTTTCAGCTAAATAATTTTATTATTTTGCTTGTGACATGCTGTCTTTTCGAATCTAATTAAAACTTACTTTTTCGTCCTTAGGTGGAAAGAGAACTCTGCAGAGATGAGCTCTTAATTAATGCACAGGGTCCCTGCAAGTCCCACCTCTCAACAGCAGTGATTGACATCCAAGGATACATAAATTACACTAATTGAGCTTTGCATCTACGCAATCTTTCCACAACCGACTCATCGGAGGAGGTAAGTGAGCAGACCAGCATAAAAAGTTACTTCAGCATGCCTGTGTGCTTTCCCTTTGGGGGAAAATATTTCCAGATTACTGAACATATGTTTCTACAGAAGACAGATTTTCTCTTCACTTTTTTTTTATTTAAAAATATTAGCATCTTAATACAGCCACTTACTCACCACACATATCACGACTGCCGGCAGCAAAATGTTACAAATCAGTGACATTATACAAATAATCACTTGGCAACACTAGTTGATTTTAAATTGTATTGAATAATTTCTTTATCTAACTAGGTGGGGATAAAAATTAGTCTTAACTACAGATAATTTCTGTCAGAGTTTAGAGGCCATGTCACTTGCCTCAAAGGTCCTGCTGAAATCACCCAAAATGACACAGATTAAATGAGTCTAGATATATATTTAAAAGTACTTTTCTTTCGGGCCCAAAGAGTTATGTTCATAAATTCACTGACATAACTTAGAGTGCTTGCTGGATGTAGATCATCTTTTGCAGCTTGGTGTGTAAGGACACATTTGAAGGAGCATGGTAAGCTTAGCATCCAGCTATATGAGCCCCCCCAAAATGGCAGAAATATGGGGTAGTATTGGTGCAATAACAAATTGCTACCTCATTAGACCCTGCAGGGTGTCACTTTCACATACCTGCATATCCCACCTGGATGACTTCCAAAACAGCTTTATTATCTAGGTGGTATGGAGGTCATATGACATAGATCATTTTGGCCATGTAATAGCTGGTGTTATCATGGCTGTGCAAAGGTGGTAATAGGCCCAGGTCGTGGAAAATATAGGTCCCATTTCAAAAACACACACACACACACACAAATGTTCAATAATCTTTACCAAAGGGTCCCTTTGCCTCTCCCAAGGGAATTCTGAGTAGGCCTCCTCAACACTGTAAGCACATGACAATTGGCCCACCTAGCTCTTGCTCTGTTTTGGCCCGGGTGTTATTTGGTATCTGCCTCATGGCCACAGACAAGAGCAGTACTTATGTGGCCAAAGTCTATTCAAGACTCTCAGGATAATTTACCGTACAAAAGACAAATTCTTCAGAGCAAAAGGGAGAAGATGATTTTCGTTCTTGAAATTGCCAGATGAGCAGGCTAAGCAAGATGCCGGAAGTATAGGAAAGAGTGGATATGCTGCAATTGCTAGGCAACTCCCAAGTACTGTCCCCTCACATGCTCATCCAGTTGGAGCCCAAGAGCAGTGTAGTCTTTCCTGGGTAGAAACACTGCCTGCAGTATAGCCCTGAGGTGTGCGGGCTTAATTGGGAATCCAGTATGGTGTGAGATTCTACAGGCAGATGATACGTTTGTAGGAGAAGCTCTGTGGCATGTGGGGCTTCTTGGCACTGAACTATTCCCCATGTGTTTGGCAGTGCCACATATGTTTCTAGCTCTCTAACATCTTCTTTTTGGGCTAGATAAGTTTGTCTAAATCTGCAAAATATTTAGTCTGTTTCTGATGAATAATTCAGAAAATACCAAAGGATGAATTGCTTGAAATGTCTATAAAGTGTATTTGCATAATATTCTCCCTTTTCGTTTTGGACCAACTGTCCAGTTTTATAGTGCACTTTGATCTTCTTGTTGTAAATGTTGTTTAAAGAATGTTTGGGCGGCATTCATTAAATTTAACTAGACATAAGATTAAGACTGTGGTGCAATGCAGTGAGGATGAAATCATTACACCAGCTGGAACACAGTGGTTTAAAAGATATGATAGAGGGAGCTGGGTTGTATCAAGGCAATACTTGGTAGAAAAGAAAATTTGTAAAAGGAGTTTGGTGAGTGCTGGAAGCAATCAAGAATGAAAATGGATGGAATCCAAAACATGCCTACTTAAAACTTTCTCTGTGGCTTAAGCAACAGCTCCAGCTATAAAGATAATCTGTTTGGTCTGGGAAAATGGCTTTTGTCCAGTTTTGTGCTTTTGTCTAAATAACTTAAGATCATCTTAAAAGCGGTGTTTGCTTTCCTCTGTTTTGACATTTCTTTTCATTCACTAAAAATTTTCCCAGTGCCTTATGTTACATTCTCAGTGATAAGCATGTCTAACTGGTAGAATTTCAGTGCCAGTTTGGCACTTTGAACTTGTGTCCTTATAGCATTCCATTGATGAGATTGTGATTTCCTAGAAGGCTTCTTGTTCTTGATAAATTAAAAAATTGGGGTCTTTTTTTAGAGGTACCAGAAGGGTAGAATTTAAGTGTGATGTGTTCAGTGCAGGGGAGGGGAGGGCAGAATATTTATCCCTTTGAAATCCTATAGAAGACACTAACAATAATTGAATATTGTTAGCTCTAACTCATACATTTGGCTTGCGCTTTCCTGCCTGACTCACACTCTTTCACATTAAAAATAACTATGCACCCCAGATTCTGCAGCCAAGACAGGACTGAATTGTTCAGCTCATATCAGATAATTTTGAGAGTGTGGGTGGGGGAATCATTTTCCTAATCTGGCCTGGGGGAAGAATGTACGTAGTTTGGAAAATCTGATCTGAAGTGATGCTTGAGAAACCTAGCTCTGATGAAAGAGATGGCAAGCCAGAGCTTAAATGGGAGGGAGAAGGCAAGAAGACTTTGTTCCTACGTAACTTATCTTTCATTAACGTGCAGGGAAACTTGTGTATCACTGTGAATGCATGTGGTATGGAGAGGCTTATTGCTTCACTCCCCGCGCTGAGATAGGAGTGAGTATCTTCAGTACACAACCCTGATATGAGCCTTGGGGGGAGGAGTTCCCATTAGCAGTAATGAAGAATTACCCCACCCCCCCTTAACTCATAGCCCCATAGCGACATCACACTACCTTCACAGTGAGATTTGAGCTCCTTTGCCCCTGTAAATTAGTTAAGGAAATGTTGCTGTTTGTTATTTAAGAGAACATTTATTTTGGTTAGTAGGACTCTGGGCTTGATGCTTTTCTGTGCTGGCAGCTTTGAACAAGCACACGAAGGAAGTATTTTAGTTAAGAGAATCTATGCTTTGCCAAATGATTTTTTTTTTTAAATGCACATCAGAAGAACTGTGGGACCAACACTTGAAGGATACAAATATGATGCTTCCTTCAAGAGAAATCTTTAGGAGTATGAAAAATGCAAGTATACAGATTAACTGAGAATTCATACCATCTGAGTGTTCCTATTTATCAGAGGTAGTTCTGGAAGCTGTCACTGATAAATCTTTGTACCTGTTTTGCTTCTTAAAGACCAGTTTTGAATAAAAAATTAGGATTCACCAGCTTTCTTTTCACTATGTTAAGCAAACTGACAATTAAAATGAATTACGATGGGCAGTTTACTAATATATCCTGCTTCAGAAACCAGAGCACAACACCCTTTACAAAAGAAGATTAAAACCTACAGCTTGGCTTGCCAACTGTCCAGTTGGCCTCTATGGCTGTGCCTTTTTCAGCGGTGTAATCTGCAATAATCAGAAATGGGCTGTGATGAAGCCACGGTTAAAGAAGCAGTGGCTGGTTAGAAATCTGACAATCCTATGCATAGCAGACAGAGATGAGACTTCATAAGTTTGCAATATTGGATCTTGGTGAGGCAACAGTGTGTTAAAAGTACACTAGTATCTGTGAAAAGATTAAGGGTATGAGGTTTACCTATATCCAGATCAGAAAGAAGCATCATTGTTTGCTTCTAGTTTGATAAGAAGGATTTTAATGTCCAGAGGCTGAAAAAGCCAGCTATTTGTTTTGTTGGCTATATATCAAGCAAGATCTAAATGATTTCCCAGTGCATATGCCCTCGTTTAGGGAATCTGTGGTTATACAGAAATTGGTACTATTCTCAGGTGGAGAGTTGGAATTGTAACATTGTGCCAAATTCCCATAAGCTGGCACTGCAGCACATGCATTCTCAAAACTCCCGTGGCAGCATATAATTGTTTAGCATTTATGCAGCCATTAATATGACAATAGTTGTGAGCCTTCTCAGCATAAATGTAATCCTCCAAATGTCAAATCAATGCAGTGCTATCTCACTTGACTCAGTGATAAACTACATAGAATGCTGGGAATTATAATATTTTGGAGGTGACGAGGTTCTACCCAGTTAGTGCTCTCTTCTAGTGTGTCCATGTTTGACCGTCTACTCTCTAAAGGGCTGTTGACAACCTCACATTATTTTACTCTGAATTAATTAGTCTGACATTATCATTACCTTTTGCTCTGTCTTCATACTCACTAATGAATTTGGGCACTTTCTCAGACCATTTAATGCAGGTAAATTAACACCATAAGTCAATGTGTTCAAAAAAATGCATATGAACATACTTCTGTGCATAGGGAGCTGTGCTTAGAGGGTTCATTTTAAAAAGAAATTAGTTATATTTCACCCTCTCCAAAAAGGAATTCATCCTTTTACAGTTCAATTTATAGATGAATTCATAATTCATTCACAAGATCCTCAGAATTTTTTCAGCCTTCAGAATTTTACAAGCTGCTCTGCTAAATTATATAATATACATTAAAAGGATAAGAAAACATTTTCTTATTTTTCCTAACAATTATGATTTTTAGAATTAAATGGTAGCATCGCTTTTCAGATAGGTAAAAATGTAAACACAAGAGCCGCAATGAAACAAAAAGTTTCGTACAGCAAATGGTAAATGGAGCCAGAGCAAAACTGAGTGAGGATATACAGGCAGAAGGAGGCAGAGTTTTGAATGTGACTCTTACTTTTGTACAGTAGGCTATTACTCCAGCCACACAAGTGTCAGAAGTTTCTATAGGGTGGGGTATAAATAATAAATTTATTATTATTATTATTATTATTATTATTATTATTATTTACTATAGACACCAGTACATCTCTCTGCCCTGTATCCAGGCAAACAAGATGCATTATCACAGTTAACTGGCACACTGCAGCCAAGCAAAGTATTTGAGGGTGCAAAGCAGGACGAGTGAGAGAGATGAATTGGGGGAAGTGAGTGTGGCCTGAGGAGATTCCAGAGGGCAGGATGC